ACCTGGGCACTGCCAGCCCATCTGGACCCAGAACAGCAGAGCCTGGCACTGCTGGGGCAGGACTATCACAACTGGGGCAGGACTGTCGGACCTGGGCACTGCTGGGGCAGGACTGTCGGACCTGGGCACTGCCAGCCCAGAGTCACGGTTTTCCCGTGACAGAAGAGAGATCAGAGTGAGACAGAGTGGGGCAGACTGACAACAGGCGTCCCACCCCCCCCCCCCCCGCTGTGCGGGCTGGGGGTCCCGGCGAGGGGTGTGACGCCTGCGGGCGGCGGGGGGGCGGACCTGAGCGCCTGCAGGGGCCGGTGCCAGGGCTTCCGCGAGCAGACCCGCACGTAGTCCTTCTTGTTGACGTTCTCGAGGAACTTGACGTAGAGGCGCTGGTAGCGGTTCTTGGCGTCTCCGAAGTAGCCCAGGTACTGCGGAGAGGCGGGGACAAGGTCAGGGGGCGCAGGCGGAGATCCCACACAGCTCTGAAAGGGGAGGACACTGCAGAAGGGAGCTCTTAGGCCAGGTCCATTCTCAAGGACCCCGGTCATCCCAGTCACAAACTGGTTTCCCTCCTACTGTCCGGTAAACGGTACCGAAGCATTCGGACCAGGTCCAACAGACTACAGGACAGCTTCTACCTCCAGGCAGTAAGACTGCTCAACAGCCCGCCTGCAGCTCCTTCAGCAGGTCACCTGTGACGGCTACAGGGACACACAGTCTCCACTGTCTTCAGCACAACCCCACTACTTGTATATTCTGCACACACCCTGGACACACAGCAGCTCGACTCACACTGAGTTTTATTCCATCTCTATTGCATCTATTATCATGTACCCTTATTTTCGTAAGCTTAATTGAGTGATTTTCGTGTTTCTTGTGATTTTTGTGAGCTCGCAGAAAAGACATTTCATTGCCAGCAACTACGGCTGCACGCCGTCTTGCTGTGCGTTTGATCGAGAAACGCGATTCGACTGTGATTCGGTCTGATCCGAAGGCGAGGAGCGGGGCCTCACGTTGCTGGTGGCGCAGAACTGCCTCTGCCCGTCCTTGATCTCGGGGGTGAACTTCTGCAGCAGAGCCTTCTGCACGCGCCAGATAGGGGGTGGCTCCCGGCCCGTCTGCAGAGCCAGCTGGCAGGGGGCGACAGAGAGCGGGAGAGGGGTGAGAGGGGGGAGAGGCGGAGTGAGGCAGAGTGAGACACAGAAAGGAGTGAGACTCAAACAGGAGGGTGAGACAGAGTCAGAGGGTAGTGAGACAGGAGTGAGAGAGGACTGAGACAGGAGTGAGCAGGCAGTGAGACAGTGTGAGAGGGGGGCGAGACAGGAGTGAGGAGAGAGGAGTGAGACAGAGTGAGAGGGGAATGAGAGAGGAATGAGATGAGTGAGAGGACTGAAACAGGAGTGAGCAGGGAGTGAGACAGGAGTGAAACGAGTGAGACAGGAGTGAGAGGGGAGTGAGACGGGAGTGAGAGGGGAGTGAGACGGGAGTGAGGAGAGAAGAGTGAAATGAGTGAGACAGGAGTGAGACGAGTGAGACAGAGTGAGAGGGGAGTGAGACAGGAGTGAAACGAGTGAGACGAGTGAGGAGAG